AAAAAAAAAAAAACTTTATCTTAAGTTAAAATTTAATTATGTGTTTAGTTTGAGAAAAATTAATAAAATAAGAGAGGAAGAAGTGAAGGAATTAAAATTAAGTTAAAATATCATTTTGGTTCCTCAATCTTTTATTTTAACATTAAAATTATTTTTTTACTTTAAAAAATATCAAAATTATCTTTAAATTTTAGTTTTCAGTACTAAAATGATCTTTTCGTTAGTTAAATAAACAAATGACACGTTAATGTCAGTTAAATAAACATGTGGCACGTTAAAGTGCCACAAAATCACTTGATTTTTTGAATGTTAACTACGTGTAAAATCCAACAAACAAAATTTTAACATCGTGGAATGTTTTTCCACATCAAATTGTTGCTTTTCATCTTCTCCCTTTTAGTGGGACCCACGTGAAAATTGTATTGCCTTTTTTTTTCTTTTTTTCCTTTTTTCTTTTTTTTCAGTTTCAATCCCACCCACATCAAACTCTCTCTTCCCCATCCAAGGCCTGTGAAACCTTAGAATCCTTTTGCCTCCTCATTTCTCCATCAGCCTTTCTCTTTTCTTTCCCTACTCATCCTTCGTCTTTCTTCTTCTTATTCTTTCTCTCTCTCTCTCTTCTCTGTTCTTCTTCCTTTCCAGATCTGGGTTTCTCTTCTCCCTTCTTCTTCCTTTCCAGATCTGGGTTTTCTCAAACCCAGATCTGGGTTCTTTCAAACCAACCCAAATCTGGGTTCTCAAAGAGATGGGTGTTTTTGACAGATTTTCTTAGGAGCAAAAGCGAAGGAAGATACTCTGATTACAGCGCCGACACAGACAACAAAAAAGAAGAAGACGATATTGATTTCGATCTCAAAACAGAAGGTTATCAATATTAGCAATTTCAAGTTTTTTGTGGCTTATTCTGGGTGGTAGTTTAAAGTTGTTTGTAAGGGTTTCTTTTGAGTTTTAAGGATACCCTTTTCAGATTGGAATTTCGAGTCGAAACTTGATGTGGGTTCTGCAGAATTTTGCCAATGGGGAAGAAAATTTAAGAATAATTTTAATACTTTTTAAAGTTGAGGGACAATTTTGATGTTAAAATAAAAAGTTGAGGGACCAAAATGCTACTTCAACCTTAAAATTAAAAAAAATAAAGTAAACTATTCCACCCTATTCCGCTTCCCTTCCTTTCAAATTTTTTTATTAATAAAATGAATAAATTTTCAATGCTCCCCTCCCATTCTCTCAAATTAACATATTGTAAAACCTTTTTTAATATGTAATGATAATTATTTTTGAGCCAAATTATAAAAATAAAGTAAAATTACTAAAATTTTATAAAAGTTAAGAATAACTAAATTTTAATGTCAAATTTTCCTTTATAATAATAAAGAATCAAGGAATATTTATTTTTTTAAAAATAAAAATAATATATATTCTTCGTTAATCTTCTATTTTTATACAAAATGATCAACATGCTTAACTACTCCTAACTTTCCAAATAAATCTATCCAATTTAACTTATTTTTATAATTTGGTCGCAGAATACTTGGTCCAAGCTTAAAGACTTTTCTTAGATCCAGACTTGCATCTAAACGTAGCTATGCATTTTAGAATAGAAACACATGGATATTTTTTCCACACGTAATCTCGCTAGTTTCATCAATGCATGAATGGAGACGAAGCTTCCTCTTCAATTGATGCTTTCTTAAGTTCATCTATATAGATATAACTTCCACGATTTTAAAATTCAGAAAATTTTTCTACCGTGTGAACTACTTGAGCCTCCACCATGGCCGGCAATAGAGCCATAACGCTCGAGGAGATCAAGAGCGAATTAGTCGATTTGGTACTCCCTCTCTCTTGCTGTAGCTAGCTCCTTATTTGTTTTTCTTGATTTGCATATACATATAACAAGATAAGGAAGTGAGCATGTGTTTTGTTGCTGAGAAAATGGA